TAAACATTCGCGCACGTGTTGCAATCGTCAACAGCTTACAAACGCAGACTCTCAGAGAAATGTATTTAGGGCACCCTAAACCGCCCACTTCCAGGCTCCCCTCCCCCCCCCCCCCCCTCCCCCCCCCCAAAAAAAAATTGCGCACACTGAATTTGTAAGAGAGCCTAGCTTGCTCACCCTTTACCCCAACCATATACATGAATAGTCGTTCTTTTTTACCGTTTTTGTTCAGAACAATAGTTGAGAGATCCTGTCCCAAAGTGGGACGCAATGTTTCTTCATTTTAAAGCCCCACCTGGCTGTAGTCAAGGGCCCTAATATAAACTAACGGTTGAACGAGGTTTCTGTGACTTGTGCCCATGAGATCCTCATCCGAATGGTGTCACTTTGTGCCACCGGGTGTTAGTCACACGTTGTACGTTTCTGGTGAAGTTGAACAACACACTAATTTTGTTCAGAAAAAAGAGTGCCGGTATTCGAAGCGTCTAAAAATAAAGGTGCCATAAAGAATTTAATACAGTAACGCTAAAAAAAAATATGCTTTATTCAAAAGGTGCCCATTCTGCGTACCGATGCGTACCACAAAAAGAAACCTGCATTTATTATTTATATTTTTTTTACAAGTATTTGTCATCAGCGTATCATTATTACTATGCACTGAATAAAGTTTATGTCCCTTGAGGCTGTCAAAAAACTTGTGTTTTGTCCCAACGCTCCTGACTGACTGAAGTTCAACCACCAGGAAGGAAGATCGAGCGATAAACATCCGGTGACACAAAGTGCCACTATTTAGATGAGATTCACCGGGACACAAGTTCCAGAAACCCCGTTCAACCTTTAGGTTATATTAGGGTCCCAGACAACAGCCAGAGTGGGGCTTCAATGAAAAGAAAACTCTGTGAAACTTCTCCATGTTCGCGTTTGTATCACAAAGGTAACCTTGCAGAAGCGGCAACTCGGAGTGAACATCTGCACTGGTCATGTGTGTCATCATTCTTTGCCGTGACACTTTATCTCCACAGCTATCATTATTTAAACATATTTTACTAGCAAAGAGCAACAAAGAAGTTTTGAAAGAGGTTGGAGCCCGAAGACAACTCATCACAGACATCAGAAGGAGACAGTCATCATTTTTCGGCCATGTTATGAGAAGAGGGAAAATAGAACATGTAGTGACCACTGGAAAGATCTGTGGAAGGTGGGTTAGAGGAAAACAACGAGAGGAGATGCTTGACAGTCTTGTTGCATGGCATGGAGGAGTGTCGCACACAAACTGATACCTGCTGCAGGAGATCGCGAATTATGGAGAGGCATGATCGTCCACGTCAGTCGGCAAGGCACCTGATGATGATGATGATAATTTTACTGGCAGGTCGCACTGGGACAGCGGCTCTCAACTTGTGAGTGGCGACCCTTTTAGGGGTCGAACGACCCTTTCACAAGTGTCGCCTAAGACCATCAGAAAACACATATTTACTGAAGTTATGAAGAAGCAAAGAAAATTATTTGATTATGGGGGATCACTATATGTTTGTTTGTTTGTTTTGTTTTGTTTTAGTATCCAGAAGCCATGAGTTGTTAACTCTTAGGCTCGGTATTATGGATATCGCAACTTTCGGCCTTGATTCCATTGTAAATACCGTAAATCTGGGAGAAATTTGGCTTTTCTGCCTACCCCCGGGAGTGAACCCGGACCACAAGGAGTTCGTCACCTTGTCACCGCGCAATCCGGTTTAGCCAACTACGCTAGAAAGCCGGGCGGGGATCACTACAACATGAGGAACTGTATTAAAAAGTCGCGGCATTATGAAGTTTGTGAACCACTGCACTAGGAAACCTCGCGACCAGTGGCATAGACGTGTAATTTTGTAGTTGTTGTTGCTGTTCTTCTTCTTTCTCTTCTTCTTTGTTCGTCGCCTGTAAGCTCGGGTGGAAAGTTTTGGTTGTTCGTCCGTTTGGACATTGTACCAGGGCCTGAATTTTTGCATGTACATCCGTTTTACTGGCTTATTTGTGTGCAGCTGGTTGTTCCTTGCCGCTCGGGCAGATGCACTTCCACTTCAAAGAAGGTCCTCGATTAGTCAAGTCCTACGATATACTTGCTGGGGAAGCAGTGAGTCTATTCTTGTTTTCCCCACAAAGGGACCCCATTACCCGAACGGAGACTTTTTTTTTTAATTTAGGGAAAGCAACCGTTTCTGGAGCTGACGGACTATATTGCCCCTGGAGGGGGAGTACCTATATGAGACCCAGTTTATAAGGTGGATACACTACACCCCCCCCCCTTCCCTCCCGTCCCCTTCCAGCCATGTATAGAGAAGATCTCTTTTTCAAGTTTCTGAGCATCCATATACTTTTTGAACTGTGGTGCTTAGGCTAAAAAAGACAATTCGTTCAAGAATCACAATCGTTAGCCGAAATCTTCGTTAGTCGAAATGTTCGTTAGCTTAAATCTTCGTTAGCTGAAGCGTGATTATCCGTAGGTTGCTAATGAAAATGATTTATTTCCATTTGACTGTTGCCTGCAGTTTAAAGATAAGTTTTATGAAACAGTTGAAAATTACGGACTTTTGATGTTCAGATAACCACATCGTCGGAGGCTTTCCAATTTCTTTATTCGCAGAACTTCTTAGCAACAGGTCAGAAGCAACTGAGAGGTCAGGAGCAAATGAGAGGTCAGGAGCAACTGAGAGGTCAGGAGCAACTGAGAGGTCAGGAGCAACTGAGAGGTCAGGAGCAACTGAGAGGTCAGGAGCAACTGAGAGGTCAGGAGCAACTGAGAGGTCAGGGTCTTCACAATAGTGGCAACTAATGGAGGTCACACAATCATCTTTGTTGACATCGCACTTAAATGTGAAATAACTGACGGGAGATCACACAACTTTAGTCTCAATATAATCTTTGTTGACATCGCACTTAAGAGTGGACTAATGCCCCTATTAGACAGTAATGTACACAATATTTTGGCAGTCCAGTTTGAATATGTTATCTGCGACATCAACTGGCAAACCTGTTACGCGCGGTGGCAGCTCCACCCGAACCAAGGGACCCAGGCGCAGTGGGGCGGCCTCCAACTCCTAGAAAGTTTGTAAGAAGCCTAAGCGGCGGCAATAGCCGTGTGTGGCAGTTCTCTTTTCAAGTATTTACTGATATATTTAATGTTATTTCAGATATATTATTATATTTATTTGCGATCAGCATACTGTTTTTATTATTATTACACACCTAAATAGTCTTAGCCCCTTCAGCCTCTGCACACTCTATAACATTTTTAAGGAGACTAAGGCGTCCCCCACCCTCTTTCCACCACAATACCTCAAGCACGCCCAATGTTTTACTTGCTCCGGTGCATCTGCGTACTAGCTCCTAGTTCACGAGACTAGATAGCTTTTTGTTATTTGTTTTATAGCCATTCGTTTATCATCATCATGTGTCTTGTCGACTGGCGTAAGCGATCATGCCTCTCCACAATCCGCGATCTCCTGCAGTTCGTGTGCTGACACACGTCCATGCCTTGCAACAAGACTGTCAAGAATTTTCTCTCGTTGTCTTTCTCTATCCACCCTTCCACAGATCTTTCCGGTGGTCTAATAAAAATGTTCCATTTTTCCTCTTCTCATAACTTGGCCGAAAAATGATTACTGTCTCCTTGTGATGTCTTGAATAAGTTGACTTCAGGCTCCCGCCTCTTTCAAAATCTCTTGGTTGCTCTTTTTGACTATCCAAGGTATTTTAAGCATTCTTCTGTAAAACCACATCTCTGAGGCCTAAAAAAATTGTCTGACTTACTTACGATTGTCCAGGACTCACAGCCATATGTTAAAACTGGATGTATATAGAAAGCAAGAATTTTTTTTTCTAAATTTTAACAATAGAGATATATTGCATAAGACGTTCTTCATTTTATAAAATGTAGTTTTTGCCTGCCCTTTTATGTTTCTTTTCTCAGTAACATCTTCTTTTTAGTATCCAGAAGCCATGAGTTGTTAACCCTTAGGCTCGGTATTATGGATATCGCAACCCTTCAGCCTTGATTCCATGATAAATACCGTAAATCTGGGAGAAATGTGACTTTTCTGCCTACCCCCGGGCGTGAACCTAGACCACAAGGAGGTTGTCACCCGGTCTCTGCGCCCTCCGGTTTAGACAACTACGCTAGCCAGCCGGGCCTCAGTAACATCTGATGTTATCTAAATGCCCAGAAACTTAAATTTCTGTACGTGTCCCAAAATAACACAAAAGACTTTTATTACACATTTAGAAATAATTCTTATCTTTGATACCACCATTACCTATGTCATTTCATTATTCAAAATGAAGACCATTTTCCCACTAACCCATTCGTTATAGAGATTAAAACAAATACATGTTTCCTTGATTACCATGACGTCAAGAAGCAAGGCCAGGAAACAAAGCAGAAGAAGAAGAGGACCACGGCCGTGCCGCGCTAAGATACAGGGTTGCTGCCGCATAAGGGGACACTGTGAGTTGCGGCATAAGCAGCGAAATCAAAACAGTGTGAACATTTAAGGGGTGGAGTTTCGTAGACTACATCAAGCTGAGAAAATCTACCTCATGGCCCTGGAAAAGGACAAGAAGATAATAATCACAAAGATAATGATGAAAGTGATTATGAAGATGATGACAAAGAATTGGGAGGATGAGAAAAGAAGAAGAGGAAGAAGAAAATCAGTAGTATCATCTCACCAGTGCAAGTAAGATGCAAACCTAACACATCTAATAAGAGTGAGTTATCACTTGTATATTTATCTTAAATGCAATGACGCAGGTTCTAGAAAACAGAACAACAAAGGGACACATTATAATTAAACGCTATTTGTTGTATTGCGCAACGACAAATCCACCAGCATCAGCCGGCGAGCCGACCACCGTCACCGGTATCGATCATGTGACCTCGGCCGCCATCGGACTCGCTCAGTCGACAAGGGTATCGCTTGTAGATCGTCTGCAGTTGCTTTTGGCGGAGTTCAGCGGCTAGAATGTCAGCACATCTAGAAAATGGTGAATTGCCCCGAAAAATTAAAAGGGTAGGCGATCACAGGCCGGTAAATGTGGTTTTAGGAACCCAGTGGGGCGATGAAGGCAAAGGAAAAGTGGTCGACATGCTGGCCGCTGATGCAGACATTTGCTGCCGGTGTCAGGTAATGAAAGTTGTATTTATTTCTTGACGTTCCTTTGCTAATTAATATATTAATAAATAATTATGTATTGAATTTTTAGCGTGCTTATAAACTGCTGTTGACCATCTCATTTTTGTGAGTACGCTCTGTATCTTTAAGGGGTTGGCATCAGGCTGATGAGATCAGGAACAGCTGAGAATAAGAATTCTATCTACCACATGGTAAAAAAATTGTAGTAAAAATTAATGAATGAAACAGAAGTAGTGAAGAGCTGTTAGTGACAATGAACAATTACAATGTAAATGCCTACTAGGACTACACTATCTCATTCTGACCTATCCCACACACGTGGTATTAACGTTTTGACTCAAGATAGAAAGCATTACTTTGTGGGTGAATGACCTGCTGTATAATAAAGTAAGTGAAGCGTTTTTCAGTGTCCCGCTAGATCTGGGTCAACAGGTTGTTGGTACTACCGTACTGTTTGACTGTTCTGGACTAAGTCTGTTGACATTTCGCCCTTGCCATGCCATAGCTTTAGTCTTAGTCTATCCAGCATCCTCTTTCACTTTCTGTTTCTTCTGCTCTACTGTGAACCTGTAATCTTTCTAAACAGGATATAAATTTTGATTTTCCAGTTCCTCTCTTGTCACATGGCTACCCACTGCTGCTGTTTTGTTACTCATATAATAATAATAATTGCCTGTAAATAGATACTAATAGTATTACTATATTATTTTGATTGACATTCTAGAGATGTACTTTCCTTCATTTTTGTCCAGGGGCTGTTTGCTTTTGTTAATGACTAGTCCTAAGTGTCTATTGGTCTCAGAACATTTCACAGCTGTCAGTCACCAAGATGTTAGTTTCTGTTTACTTTTTTTTTGGGCATTCTTTTTTTAATTTAAACGTGTTAACCTGTTAATAAGTGGTATTATTTCATTGGGTTTTAAATAAGTTGGAAAGAAACTAAACACCTGGAGACAACTTCAGTTATGCAAAATTTAAATAAACTTAAATAATATAGACCCAACCAAATGGTCTGATGGAAGTGAGAGGAGGATGATATTTTAGGAGGGATCAGAATAATGTTTGCTACAAAACTAACTACATTTGTTATTTGTAGTCTTGCTCTTTCTTAGTTAATAGTAGTGTTTCTGGACTTTGTCTAGTTTCAAACTGCATTGATGCACATCCTTTTATATATCTGGCTTAATTGTATGCAGTCTGTTTGTTCCTCTGCCTCTCAGGCAGATGCACTCCATCTTCGGTGACATCCCTAATTAGTCTCATCCTATGACATGCAGTTGGTTGGTATATCCACCCAACCCCCGACCCAAAACTCACACAGAAAATCTGTTGGCTAACTTCCGAATAACGGTCTCAAATTATCAAGTCAGAAAATATACCCCAACAGGGCCTCAGTCACGTGTCAATTGGGCAGTTCTGCCGTCTTGAAATGCCTCCGGCGACTTCCGCAACCTCTGCCACCGCCGAGTGTCCTCCACGCAGCGTGGATTGGGGCTAAACTAGATGGCTAGGAGCAGCAGCTACCGCATCTCCTGCAGCTCCCTTCATTTTATTTTGCTTGTGAGTCCTAGCCATCTAGTTTAGCCCCAATCCACGCCGCATGAGCGGCGTGGGGGACACTCTCCGCGGAGGTTGCAGAAAGTTCGGCAGTGGCGTTATAGTCCCCGAAAGTGCGCAATTGACACGTGACTGAGGCCCTGTTAGGGTATATTTTCTGCCTCGATAGTTAGTCTGCATAACTAGGTTTAGGGAAATGGTCAGGTCTATAAGTGTAGTGTTGTGCCTGTGGGCTTGTTTATGAACTTGTTCAGATGTAGCAGAGAGTTCAGACTTTGTGCAGTGCACTTACATTGTATTGTATTAAGGTTCTTTCTGTGCTGAGTTTAGGCTTCTGGCCTGTCAGAATCTGCATTTTTAAAATGTTGGCCCCTGAGTAAACAGTTGAATAGCCCTGATTTAGAGGTTAATTGTTCTTCTCAGGCTAGTTTTTTCTTTGATCGTCTTTCATACAAAATCATATCTGATATCAGGAGGCCGGTATCTTAATGAAGCTATTATGCAGCCTAAATCTCGCCATGTACCATACAGCACTATCTTATTTTGATTGAGGTTTGAATAGGCCAATTGTTTTCTGTGTTAGCAGTATACAGTTTACAGTGTTGGAGCACATGTACAGCATTTTCTGGGTACCCGGTTGCAGGAAGTGGCCTACGCTGAAAGACTTAAATACCTTTTGGCTAAAGTTGGCTATCCTCCGAATAACGGTCCCAAATGATCAAGGCCGAAAATATTCCCTGACAGGGCATGTGTCACGTGTCAATCGCGAACATCCGGCGACTTGAAATTGCACACTTCCGACGAATGCCGCCACTGCCGAGAGTATCCCCCACGCCGCTAACGTCGTGTGGATTGGGGCTAAACTATATGGCTGGGACTTACGGGCAGCAGCTACCGCATCTCCTGCAGCTTCCTTCGTTGTATTAGCTCGTGAGTCCCAGCCATCTAGTTTAGCCCCAATCCAAGCGGCGTGGGGGGGCGGGGGGTACTCTCGACGGTGGCGGTATAGTCCCTGGAAGTCTACAATTGACACGTGACTGAGGCCCTGTTAGGGTATATTTTCAGCCTCGATAATTTGGGACCGTTATTCGGAGGATAGCCGCAAAGTCTGTTATGCCATGTTCTTAGTCTAAATATGGCACATTGTCCCTCTGTAGAGAGGCGAAGCAAGTCCTTTTGAAAAAAAAAAATAAGATGTGGGTATCCAGCCACCTTTCTTAGATACTAGGTTTTAATAATGTCTTTTGTACCTGGCTCGTCTCATGGCGTAGGCTGTTTGAAATTTTTACTAACCCTATTCCCTTTTTGGAGGTCACTATGGTGTAGCATCTGGATGCTTGACTGTGAATGCAAAAGTTGTGGGTTCGGGTTTGCATGAAGTTAGATTTTTAAAAAAAAACATTACCCTTTCTTCCAGGTAAATCCAGCCTTAAATTGGTACTGGGTGTGGTTGTGGGAAGTAAAGGCTGCTTGCCTAATGTGCGTAATACACCACCTTTACTTTCATTACTTGTGTCCCCTTATTGCTGGGGATGGCAGATCTTATATCTGATTTTTCTCTGTAATCTGCATCTAAAACACATGTGCATTACTGTTGAAATTTACTGCACACACAAAAAAAACACACCTCATTAATCCCTGTCCTTAAGGTGTCATTGTATCAGAATATGAATAGAATATTGATACAGTGAATCTGTTGGTTTTCTGTCTCCCTAAAATGGGGCACCAAAACACACACGGAGACACACAGAATATCAAAGCAGCCTAGAGAGGGAATTGGAATATAGGGGCTGACTAGGAGACAGCATTAGCGCAGTCGATAGGAGACTCACTTTCTTATCAGCTGCAACTCGCTGCAGCCTACAGTCAGTTTTCGAAATCGGACAGTTCCCGGGGTTCACCCAGCCTCTAGGAAATGGGTACCAGAGTTGACACCCTGGGGTAAATGGAGGAACATCGATGTAGCTAGGGATTTACGTGCAGACGGTGACACAGGCGGACACTTTCTTATCAGCTGTCTGTACTGGTGGCAGAGCACTTATGGTTTATAACCGTGTGCAATGACGCTGGTTCACATCTCCCGACTTTACCTTTTTTCTAGTAGGCAAGCATAATAGTGACTTCACAACTGTTTCTCCTTCCATAACATGATGCATCATTGTTTATTTTGTATGCCCAGGTTATTCCACACCCACTACTCTCCTAACAAGTATGTCATAAAAGGCAGCTTATTTAGAGAAATACTAGGGCAAATGTTGAAAAGCCAAAGATGCTGGACTGGACACCACCCATGATAACAATGTGGTTGCACAGGATAGCAATAGACTGGAAGCTCTTTGGGATATACATTGGCAAAATAGAGCAGTGAATTAGGGTTTTTTGAATGTGTTGGGCTGATATTGCAGCCCAGCTGCAAACTACAAAACAACATGCCAGCCATACTTTTAAGAGGGAACATAAGAATAAGAAGATGTGGGTTATCTGATGAATGCCTTTCTCACTTTCATTAAATGTTTTCTTGTCTTAATATTACAGGGTGGAAACAACGCTGGCCACTCAGTCCACGTGCAGGACAAACATTATGCGTTTCACCTGTTGCCGAGTGGGGTTATCTACCCTTCATGCAAAGGAGTCATAGGTACTGTTTTGTGTTTTCTGTGAACATCCGTTGAATATATTTTATGTCTTGTCTTTTTTATTTTGTGCACCTGCTACATAAGGTACCCACAGACAGTACATATTTGTTCAGCCATAATGCATAGGATTACCAGTTTGTTGTCTTGTACATGGTTCCCTTTCTGCATTAGGTTGCCTATTGTTTGGTACTTAGGGTTTCTCCAGTTGACATTAGATTACTCATTGTATATTTTTAGGTTCTATGCTTGGATTCCAGAAATATTGAAAATCTCAAGAAAAAAACTTTGCCAAAGCCTAATCCAGCTGGTCTATATTGTTGGCACTATGCCATTGTAACTTTAAAGTTATATCACTGTTTTGAGAAAATCTGGTAAGGACATTTATAAGACACTGTTTTAGGCACATCCTGATAAGAACAAACACTAAACAGACCCTTAGGGGGGGGGGGGGGGTATGAATTTAAAGGCGAGAAAAATCATACTGAAACAGTTGCACATGATGGAATTTATGCATGCCTGGCGTATTCTTTGTACTTTTTTGGGTCTGGTTATTTATGTAGGCCTTGTGTATATTCTTTCTACATTGTGATCTGGTTATTTATGTAGGCCTAGTGAATTCTTTCTACATTGTGGTCTGGTTATTTATGCAGGCTTGACTAAATGATTATACAGGCTGAAATCAGCGAAATATACTTGTATATGATTCAGACTCCTGGAAATGATTCTAATGTCATAAATGTATTCTGCAGGAAATGGGGTCGTGATAAACCTGCCAGATCTGTTCAAAGAGATTGAGAAAAACGCACTCGACAACTTGGAGAATCGTCTGGTGATATCTGACAGATCGCATTTGGGTGAGTTTCAAATGGATACTGTCATGGAAAGACTTTGTATCACTGTTTCTCCACCCTGGGTGGCACACGCCAGTAGGTGGGGGGAGGGGAGATGAAGAACTTTCTGTTGGGGCATCAATCAGTTTAGAAATTTAGTTAATTTGTACTAGTTTTTGTTTTCAGCTTTAGGTCATAAAAATAAAACCAACTTGATGTGCAAAGTTATCGTTGTGCATTGTGAGTTGTCTAACACCAGACCAAACATAGTAAATTTTATCAAGAAAAAAAACCCAGTAAAACAATCACATTAAGATTTGGAAACAAATGCCAGTTGTTGGTTATTTTTTTTTTTTTTTTAAACACTTTGTGATTTATGTGGATGTTTTTCAACAAGTTCTTAACTGTGGTTGGGTTTTTTTTTACTTAGGAATTTGGAGTTGTGCATATTGGGAGGGAAGGGCTGGGGACCACGTGTCCTGTCTGCTGTCGCAAGGACACCCCCCCCCCCCCCAAAAAAAAAAGATCTACTACCAGCTCTCTGTTGCGTCTGCTGGAGTTTGAATGCTAATCACTGCAGTAACAAACCGGCACAGTAGCCCTGAATGCACATATAAATCCCCAAATTTGTTTGCTTTGTGAATTTCTTTACTGCCATATACATAGTGAGGAGAGTTGCTGTGGCGTAGTGGCTAGATGCTTGCCAGCTGATTGGAAGGTCGTAGGTTCGCTTACTGTCAGAGCCAGACTTTTTAAAAAAAAATGACATTGGCTCCCAAGTCGACCCAACCTTAAGTGGGTACCAGGTGCAGTCATAGGGAATAAAAGCGGCCGGCGTGATGCTGGCCACATCACCCACCTTGTGTATTGAGCTATAAAATATAGGTCTAGCCCTATATACCCAGTATGTTTAAAAGGCGGGGAAAAGGGTCCTTTACTTTTATATTCATAGTGAGCCTGTGTTCATCATTATACATATTGTCAGCTAAACCAAATAATCTGCACAAAGGCCTACAAATGTGTGCACTAGTTATTGCCAGTACAAACTGAAGTGAATCTGCCGACATTGATAAAAATGTGTGCACTAGTTATTGCCAGTACAAACTGAAGTGAATCTGCCGACATTGATGAAAATGTGTGCACTAGTTATTGCCAGTACAAACTGAAGTGAATCTGCCGACATTGATGAAAATGTGTGCACTAGTTATTGCCAGTACAAACTGAAGTGAATCTGCCGACATTGATGAAAATGTGTGCACTAGTTATTGCCAGTACAAACTGAAGTGAATCTGCCGACATTGATAAAAATGTAGGGATGGATAGATCATTCACTCAGAAAGGAAAAGAGACAGGTGAATTAATGTTAAAATACCTGATTGTTTTTTTCCTTAGTGTTTGATCTGCACCAGCTTGTGGATGGCATGCTGGAGGATGGGAGAGGTCACAAACTGTGAGTATGATGTAATCATTGTTGTTGTACATTCTTGCTTGCAGAAACTGATAATTGAGAGTGGTTTTCTAGAAGAGGAGGTAGGAAATGACATATGTGATGGTTGACACATGATATCAGACACGCTGGGTATAATGTTAGAACTTTGACTAACCCTATGCATACAAGTTTATCTGACACAGTGGTGAGACTGGATACATTTGCATGTGTAAGTGTTAGCAGGTATAGAAATTTCCCTCTAATCTCGCAGGTGAGCATGGCAGTACTAGTAGCGTCGCCACGTTACATATTTTTCATGAAAGGCATAAGCATGCAGCGAGCACTCTTCACTATTTTTGAGACGATAATCGAAGGGCCTATTTGTAATAAATAGTAAAAAGTAGTAATAAATATCAAATAATAAAGTGTAAGCGTTAATAACAGCTGTCACATGCGCCACTGGCAGGGCAGGGGATTTGATAAGATGCCGAGTGGCTTCCCCTAATCCTATGATTAGAGCACATTTCTTGAAACACATTTTCTTCTACTACATATCCACAATAACGGGTCCTCAATTAGATTTTTGTCAAGGGCCCTTTGTCTGCCGTACCGTACATGCGATGCCTAAGAAGATCGCAAACACTGAGATGTTGGAAAGAGCAGGTGTTACAACAATCTTATCAATGCTCAGTCTAAGAAAGCTCAAGGTGCTGAGCCACACCTGGAAGATGGCAGTGCCCCTAAGGACATCTTCTGTGGTGAGTTAAAGATGTAGATGATGTCAAGGCCAACCTCTACTATGATGTGCAAACAGGACATGAATGATACATGCATTGGGGTGGACTCCTCATGCCATAGACCGTGTTGTGTAAAGGGAATTAGAATAAAGGAAGACATTTTTGCAGAAAGGATGAGAGGTGACAGTCTTAGAAGAAACACACCAAATACAAATGTTGACAACAATGGTCCTGAAATCATGATGTAATTCTGGAAGACTTTTCTTAAAGCGGGCAGGTCTTGCTTGTCACACCTGCCATCGCCATGGGCTGTGAGTCTCATTTCTCCTCATAGCGCAATATAACAACATTATTGCCCCAAAAAAACAGGAATGTGCCATAATTATTATTATTTTTTTTTTTGGGGTGTGTGTTTTGCTTCAGTTGCTGTGATGATTTGTCGATTGTGCTGATTTGTCAGACTTGGGCATAACATATTTCATTTACTTTAACAGGATTGGCACAACTAAAAAAGGAATCGGTCCAGCTTATGCATCAAAGGTGAGAAGGTTTTTAATTCCTTTTTATGCCACCTGCAGTTCGTAAGCATTTTTTTGTTCCTTTCAAAATTGTTTTTGTCATTACATAGTTTTACTTTTTGAGAATAATTTATTATGTACTTTAAACTGTGAACATGCATATATAATGAAAGAATGACATTTTGAAAGTGTGTATTTATTGGGAGTAATGCATGAAATAGTAGCACTAACTCTTTCACTATCAGGGGTCTTACTATATAGCTTAGTAACTCTGTATAAGGAATACTTCACCGACTGTATACTCAAGATGGAATTTTCTGGTTGTTAATCTGCATCAGTACTTAAGTTTTGTTTCAGAATTTAAGATTTGCCTGCACATCCATTTTTACAGATCTGGCTTATTTGTATGCAGACTGTCTCTCACCTGACAGGCAGATGCATTCGAACTTAGAAACACCCCTAATTGGTCTGCTTGTAAGACATAATTGTTGTGGGGCAGTGGTGTCTGTTCCTTCTTTCCCTGCAGTGTTGTCTGTTCCTTCTTTCCCTGCAGTGTTTGTTCCTTCTTTCCCTGCAGTGTTTGTTCCTTCTTTCCCTGCAGTGTTGTCTGTTCCTTCTTTCCCTGCAGTGGTGTTTGTTCCTTCTTTCCCTGCAGTGTTTGTTCCTTCTTTCCCTGCAGTGTTTGTTCCTTCTTTCCCTGCAGTGTTGTCTGTTCCTTCTTTCCCTGCAGTGTTGTCTGTTCCTTCTTTCCCTGCAGTGGTGTCTGTTCCTTCTTTCCCTGCAGTGTTTGTTCCTTCTTTCCCTGCAGTGTTTGTTCCTTCTTTCCCTGCAGTGTTTGTTCCTTCTTTCCCTGCAGTGGTGTTTGTTCCTTCTTTCCCTGCAGTGTTTGTTCCTTCTTTCCCTGCAGTGTTTGTTCCTTCTTTCCCTGCAGTGGTGTCCGTTCCTTCTTTCCCTGCAGTGGTGTCCGTTCCTTCTTTCCCTGCAGTGGTGTCCGTTCCTTCTTTCCCTGTAGCTGTGTCTGTTCCTTCTTTTCCTGCAGCGGTGTTTGTTCCTTTTTTCCCTGCAGCTGTGTCTGTTCCTTCTTTTCCTGCAGTGGTGTTTGTTCCTTCTTTCCCTGCAGCTGTGTCTGTTCCTTCTTTTCCTGCAGTGTTGTCTGTTCCTTCTTTTCCTGCAGTGGTGTTTGTTCCTTCTTTTCCTGCAGTGTTGTCTGTTCCTTCTTTTCCTGCAGTGTTGTCTGTTCCTTCTTTTCCTGCAGTGTTGTCTGTTCCTTCTTTTCCTGCAGTGTTGTCTGTTCCTTCTTTCCCTGCAGTGGTGTCCGTTCCTTCTTTCCCTGCAGTGGTGTCCGTTCCTTCTTTCCCTGCAGTGGTGTCTGTTCCTTCTTTCCCTGCAGTGGTGTCCGTTCCTTCTTTCCCTGTAGCTGTGTCTGTTCCTTCTTTCCCTGCAGCTGTGTCTGTTCCTTCTTTCCCTGCAGCTGTGTCTGTTCCTTCTTTCCCTGCAGCTGTGTCTGTTCCTTCTTTCCCTGCAGCTGTGTCTGTTCCTTCTTTTCCTGCAGTGGTGTTTGTTTCTTCTTTCCCTGCAGCTGTGTCTGTTCCTTCTTTTCCTGCAGTGTTGTCTGTTCCTTCTTTTCCTGCAGTGGTGTTTGTTCCTTCTTTTCCTGCAGTGTTGTCTGTTCCTTCTTTTCCTGCAGTGGTGTCCGTTCCTTCTTTCCCTGCAGTGGTGTCTGTTCCTTCTTTCCCTGCAGTGGTGTCCGTTCCTTCTTTCCCTGCAGTGGTGTCCGTTCCTTCTTTCCCTGTAGCTGTGTCTGTTCCTTCTTTTCCTGCAGCTGTGTCTGTTCCTTCTTTCCCTGCAGCTGTGTCTGTTCCTTCTTTTCCTGCAGTGGTGTCTGTTCCTTCTTTTCCTGCAGTGGTGTCCGTTCCTTCTTTCCCTGTAGCTGTGTCTGTTCCTTCTTTCCCTGCAGTGGTGTCCGTTCCTTCTTTCCCTGCAGCTGTGTCTGTTCCTTCTTTTCCTGCAGTGTTGTCTGTTCCTTCTTTTCCTGCAGTGTTGTCTGTTCCTTCTTTTCCTGCAGTGTTGTCTGTTCCTTCTTTTCCTGCAGTGTTGTCTGTTCCTTCTTTTCCTGCAGTGTTGTCTGTTCCTTCTTTCCCTGCAGTGGTGTCTGTTCCTTCTTTTCCTGCAGTGGTGCTCCGCACCCACATGAAGACTGTATGACTCACTTCTGTGAACTTATTTTGTCCCATTATTCTTGTGTTAACGGTCTTTATCACAGCTTAAATAGTTACTCAATGCAACTTGGGGTTTGAAAGTGTTGTAAAAAGACTCTAAAACTGAGAGAGTTTAAGCGATTTATCCATATTTAATACTTGTCTTTTACATGATGCTGTCAAGAGTAAGTACCATTTTAATGAAAATAAAAACACATGATGGGGTTATAGAGAAACTGAATGAAAAGAGCTGAGACAATTGATTAGGAAGCATAGAAAACTGCTACAAAGGTATGTGCAAGTGAGGCATGAATGATGCAGGCATTGAGGTAGATTTCTGGGTATAGAATGCCATAGGTTGCATTGTATGGAAGAGGGGAAAATCAGGAAGAGAATAAGGTCAGGGAGACAATGGTCGCAGATATGGTTAAGATGTGACTACCTGAGAAGAAAGCATGTTAGAGACATGTAATGGTAGCAGTGGTCCTGAAATCCCTAGCAACTATATGTGGAAGCTTTTCTAAATGATATCTGGCCTTGCTGTCAACATGCACTAGGATCTTCATTCTTTCTGAGAGTAAAATGTAACACTGTTGGGCAGAAAGATGAGAAGGTACCAACAAAAGGTCATGCTAGATAGAAACGTTGAAAGCAGGTGAGCGAGAGGTAGACAGTTACACAAAAAAATATGGATAAGATTGGCAGCGTAAGATGGGCTCTCTGGGGCAGGCAACACCTATAGATAAGGTGACAAAAGAGAACACCATACAAAAAAGGCTATGTCATGTCCCTTAAATATCAGGGAAGTTAAACCTCGTCAACAAATGCCTGATGAAGTCAGATGTGTCGACCTGGAGATGCAAATATTGCAGCTGTGCTGTAAACGGGCACATTTGTTATTCAGACGAAGGAAAAAAAGAAGAATGGCAGTGTTGGAGATAAAAGGCAGTTAACCATCAGTGTGGTTATATTTGACTGATTTAAATGTTCTTTTCTTGATTGCATACTTTTTTTTCTGCACCTTATCCCTCCAGTGGAGCATAGGCCCTCAACAAGCTTATACCAAGATTCTCTGCTTATTGCATGCCCTATGTCCTCACTTTCCAGCTCCTTTCCCACATATTTTTGGTCTGCCTCAAGGTTGATTGTCCTAGTGGTTCCACTGTAAAGGTGTTCTAGTTATATTATGTTTTTCTCGTGTCCTGACCAAAGACAGCCTCTTTTTTTTTTTTTAAGTTCTTATTTCACTATAAAATGTTAGGTCCTTTCCCGATGGACATAACAGTGAAGGAGATGATTATATTTACATCAGCATATAGTTTGATAAGTGAAATCATGAATATATTATTAGTTTACTTAGCATTTATAAGAAATGTTTGTTGTACTGCTGTATAATTGTGCCATGACCAATTTTCAGAGTTTAATGCAATTAGTAAAGAATGGCTTTGAATACATGTGTGGGTGTGTGTGTGAGAGAGAAGTGACTGTTTTCTAACGTAGACCTCTTGGCACAGGCTACCCGGAACGGTCTACGGATATGTGATCTCCTTGGAGATTTCGTCAAGTTCTCAGAAAAGTAAGATCGCGGCTTATATTTTGTAGAAATGGAAACACTGTTTGTCCTTTTTAATACTGTATAATTATTATTATGCATACTGTTCCTTGCACTGTTGCTTGTTCTCAGTGTGGTAATTATGTATTTATTGTTAGTTTAATAAAGTAAATTTATGTAATGGGGGGGGGGGGGGGGGGGGGCTGTTATGTTTCAAATTTACAATTTTAATAATTGGAGCCTATTTTTGGACAAAAAGTAGAACTAGTCAGCTTTATAGATAACAAACCGCGGATGGCAAAATGTATTTGTTTTGTTGTGTACGTTTAAACAGTGATTGCATGAATCTGGGAATAATGAAGAACATTTAAAATGACACAAAAGTCGCTATGGGATTTCCTATCCATATTAGAACAATTCAGCAACTGGTGTCAGACAGAGGAGCGGCTGGCGGAACGGTTATGAAATGCAGGGCTGTCATGTGAATGATCCCAGTTGGAACCTTCAGCAAGGTTTGGGGGGAAAAACAAATTAAATCCTAACCTGCAGTCTGTAGCAACAGCACTAACCACACGGTCGAAAATATTTAATTGTTCATTGAACATACAATGAAGTCTACAGAAACAAATTGCCATGTCTATGTTTGCTTGAGGTAATATACACAATGGATATTATGCTGATCACACAGTCCTTACAGCATCATCTGCTGACGGTAATAATGAAAAATGTCGGCTGTTTACTTTAAAAAAAAATATACATATAGATAGATAGGAGTAATGATAGCACAAAATAGTTTAATTCTGCCCAAATGCAGGCTTAAACAGACACTTTAATTATTTGTACTAATGTAATGCTTGTGAAGAAATTAGTTAAATACGGATGAATCTTGCAACATAAAGAGCAAAATGTAACAGACAAAGCAATTTTATGAAGTAAGTATCTGCACAACAATTTCTCATTGAGAAGAGGAAAAATTGAATTTCAACATAAAGCTTGGACAAAAATGTGGCTTAACAAATACCAAAGTGAATAAAGGCATCCCGTAATCCGAAGGAGATATTTTTGGCTACCAAATGAGAAGAGGCTGTACGTGTGCTTGGGGGAGGAAAGTAGGTCAGATGCATGATCAACTAATTGAAGTGTTAATTTCTGGGTTAAAAAAAATGTGGACTTCCCTGTGTGGGTTCCCGGACCCCATTATGGGATAAACAGAAATAGACCCATTGCCTCCCCCAACAAGCGTATCATAACAGTTGACTAATAGGGGACAGGGCTTCCTTCGAAGTCGGAGTGCATCTACCTGAGAGGCAAGGGACCAAAAATCTACATTCAGATAAGCCAGATCTGTAAAACAGAAGTGCATGCAACTTCCATGATACTTGGTGGTTGTTGTTATTTGACCTGCATATGTCTCATGTCTGTTGCAGATTCACGCATTTAGTGGATCATTTCAAGCAGATGTACCCAGAGCTCATCGTGGACATTGACAGTGACCTTACACTGTACAAGGTAGGAATAAAGGTCACAGGATGATTGCATGACAGGATTACTAAATAATCTCCCCTATCCCCACAGAATGGCTTAAATGTTTCTAATACCCACGAGCTGTGGACTAATTTGAAAATTTTATAAAATTCTACTAAACTTACTGCAGGATTTCTGACTGCCTGTGTCATACATAGGGGACCTGTTTCCCCACCTTGAGGTATAGTGGGTATCTGGTGTTGGCTCCGCAGTTGTGTAATCAAACAGTGATGTTGTCAGTGTCATGCTGACCACCTTTACTTCCTGAATCCCTTTTAAAATACCTTTTTTTTTTTTAGCTTCTCAACTTCAAATCCCTGGGTAATTTTGATAATCTCTGTGATGCAGATTTGAACACATGACCACTAGACTGGCTGGACAGGTATGCAAGCTAGCCACTGGGTTCCTCCTGTTCCTTGTCTTCTCTCTCCACTCTAACTCCCACCCCCTCTAAATCCCACATTGTAATATACCTATAGAATCATAAGTGCTGTATTTGAGGTTTAGTTAACAAGTACTGGAGTGTCTTTTGTGTTCACCGACTGTAAACTCTGGCGGAAAAGTTCTGGTTGTTCGTCCACTTCTGTTCTCTTGTATTCCAGAACCTCAGTGGTGCTTGCACATCTGTTTCTCACACGGGACTCTTTTGTGTGCAGACTGTTGGTTCCTTGCCTTGCAGGCAGATGTACTCCATCTTTGAAGAAAGCTTCTGGTTAAACTGCTTTTACGATATGTTTTTAAGTAAGCAGTAGTTGTAATCATGTTTTTCCCACAGCGAGGCCCTGAAACTCACATGGCGAGAGCAATAGGTTTTCCGTTTTTTTTTGCGGTTTAGAAACATTTCATAGCTGTTCTCGTGTGTGAGTCACACCCAAGAGATTGATACCTCCCCAAGTAGTACCTCCACAGACAGCAATGATACAGTGTAACCAGACTTCAATATAGCGACGGCACATAGATTTTTGTTGCGGTTGTTGATGGCTTTGCGGTGACAGATACGTTGTTGAAGAACATTTCTGAGTACAGCTATATATCTTGTCTTTAACAACCAACTATATAATAGCCCACCAATATAAATGTCCCAGGTATGGATTTAAGATCGTATGATATTAAAGTTGGTTGAGTGGTTAGGTATGGAATTTTATGGGTTTAGAAAAAAAAATCTTATTTTTATTTTTATAGGAGCTGGCCGAACGAGTCCGGCCTATGGCTAAAGATACAGTGAGCTACCTGCACACTGCCATTTTGGAGAACAAGCGCATACTGGTGGAGTGTGCACAGTCAACGATTTTGGATATCGATTTTGGTTAGTTACTTTGTGTTACTGTAGAGACTTCATTGTTCTAGGTTTAATTTGTCGTTGCATCTATCTGGTCCATCACTGGATCAATTGCTCTCTCTGTCTCCCCCTCTCTCTCTTTTATAGAGAGTACACTGTTGATAGTTAAAAAGGCAACACAAGTTTGGCTACAGCTGTGATCATTGTAGAAAAGAAAATGGTCACATTTCGAAAGAAAAAAAACTTTCCTTGAATATAAAGGAAACAGACATTAAATATTTTTTTTTAACGACACCAAAATTGGATAATACAACAGGAAGACAACTTTTCCCCAAAAAAAAGTTTGATAATAAAATTATAGTCAAAAAAAACTAGTAGTTTGATAGTAAAGCAGTTTTTGTTTGGTAGTATTTGATATCATAAACAGTCTTTGTTTGGTAGTCACAAAACAGTCTTTTATTTGATAGTCATAAAACAGTCTTTGTTTGGTAGTATTTGATAGTCATAAAACAGTCTTTGTTTGGTAGTATTTGATAGTCATAAAACAGTCTTTGTTTGGTAGTATTTGATAGTCATAAAACAGTCTTTGTTTGGTAGTATTTGATAGTCATAAAACAGTCTTTGTTTGGTAGTATTTGATAGTCATAAAACAGTCTTTGTTTGGTAGTATTTGATAGTCATAAAACAGTCTTTGTTTTGGTCAAGACGAAGGCCATAAAATACTAAGCAAAAGCAGCATTTCAAAAGAAGTGGTACTTAAAGACAAACGGCAACCTTTCAGCAGCAGATGAAAGTTTATGTCATTTAATAATAACAGATACATTTAAAAAAAACCAATTCTGACAAGTGGAAAGGGGTGCTAGACCGACAGATGGAAAAATTTCAAGGTATTAGAATTGTTAGATGACTAATTAGGATATTGGATGAAATGGCAAAGTCGGGTGAAAAACAAATTTAGTAGCTATCATGACTGGGATGTGAACAGATGATATATATGTGATGAAGATATTGGAATGTATTACTGTTATACTAGAATATTATATTTTAATTTTTGCAGGCCTCTACCCATATGTAACGTCCTCCAATTGCTCTGTTGGGGGCGTGTGTACCGGCTTGGGCATTCCTCCACATTGTGTGGGAGAAGTGTACGGTGTTGTCAAGGCATACCTTACTCGTGTTGGCTCCGGAGGATTCCCTACAGAATTAAACAATGTAGGGATGTTTGTTTTTGTACTGCTATTTGCTGGCATGTTCTTAGTTTTTGTACTGCCAGCCTGTCCCTATTGTTTTTGTACTGCCAGCATGTTCCTATTGTTTTTGAACTGCCAGCCTGTCCCTATTGTTTTTGTACTGCCAGCTTGTTCCTATTGTTTTTGTACTGTTATTCTGTCCTGATTGTTTTTGTACTGCCATCCTGTCCTCATTGTTTTTGTACTGCCATCCTGTCCTCATTGTTTTTGTACTGCCATCCTGTCCTGGTTGTTTTTGTACTGTTATCCTGTCTTGGTTGTTTTGGTACTGCCATCCTGTCCTCATTGTTTTGGTACTGCTAGCCTGTCCTCATTGTTTTGGTACTGCTAGCCTGTTCATTATTCAGTATTTGGTCAATTTTTCTTTCTTTTTTTAAATAGACGATCAGACTATTTGGTTTTTATTAACTGTCAAACTGTTCTTTTTGTTTTGTATTGCCATGCACCAATTTTTGTTCGCGTTTAAAAAAAAAAATCCCGTGTTTAAGAAGAAAAAAACTAGAAAAAAGTATACATTCAGTATAGATGATTGATACAATTTAACAGAATGAAGAAAGGCAAAAACTGTGTGTTCAATCTCATGCTGGCTTTTTTTTTTCAAGATCTTTGTTTGCATTTGTTTAGGAGCAGGGAGAACTGTTGCAGAAGAGAGGCGGAGAGTTTGGAGTGACCACTGGTCGACCCCGACGCTGCGGGTGGCTAGATCTGGCCATGCTGCAATATTCAAACATGATAAATGGCTTCACAGGGTAGGTTATTGATGTCTTTGCCTTTGCAGGTTCCTCTGTCTTTCTGTTAATCTAATTTGGGAGCTGTTCCGACCTCGCGGAAAAAAAGAGGCACCCCGTTGTTGCTAGATTCTTTTGCCAGCGGAAACCACATAGTATGTCCACCATTGTCCTCAGTGAAAAATTGAGACAGCACTGTCAGCAAAGCGAGTAACGTACATACGCATTAAATGCATACAATTAACATCAGAAGTGCTAACACAGAAAGTCCACCTCTAGATTTTCAGTTTGACATTATTAAATAATTTAATATTTCATGGTTCAGGACTGTCATGTTTTATCTCTGTATTTATGCCTAGGACAGTTGCGTTGTGTAGTTTTTGCTTATTACCCGCTTGGTCTTGCTCGGTTTCAGTCTGCATATTGATTTTTCTCCAGTTTGTTCTAGTCGACTTCTATCTCTTTTTTAATATATTCTGTGTATAAATATTGAACGGTCATGGGTTCAAGGAAGCACTAGACTTCAATTATCTAGGGAGCATATCATCGTCCAATGAAAAAAAAAAGAAACAGAGATAGAACACATGTAATAAAGCAAAGCAAATTTTTGACACTTGTCACCATTTGTACAGAATAAACATATAACAGTTGACTCACAATTAACACTTATTTAGTGAAGAATCTATTACCATTTTGCTATTGGTGCCAAATCTGGACATTAACACACAAAATGAAATGAAATATGATGAATTCTAAATGTAACTAGAAGAGACAAGATTAGAGTCTGTAAATGCTAGCATCTACATAGCTAATATCAAGGCTAGCAATTACATAGCACATATCAAGGCTAGCAATTACATAGCGCATATTCAAGGCTAGCAATTACATAGCACAAATCAAGGCTAGCAATTACATGGCACATATCAAGGCTAGCAATTGCATAGCACATATCAAGGCTAGCAATTACATGGCACATATCAAGGCTAGCAATTACATGGCACATATCAAGGCTAGCAATTACATGGCACATATCAAGGCTAGCAATTGCATAGCACATATCAAGGCTAGCAATTGCATAGCACATATCAAGGCTAGCACTTGATGCTGCCTCTTCAAAGGCAGAACAGGACTAGAGAAGTTATGAGTAAATACACGTTTTATCTCACATCTCTGTTTCTTAGGAAGGATACACATTTTCTTGATCTGATTTATCCACATATAAGTTATTTATTAGTCTGCAGTATTTGCCATATCTTATTGTTTCATCGACACATTTGATTAATTGGGGATTATTTCTTCTGTCTTTATAGTCTATGAAATAAAAATGAACACTTTTAAAGACTATTTTCTCTTAACAATATTTCTTTCAGAAAACAAGCTGTTATTCTAGAATTTATTTTATCTGTTGTATTGTTATTGCTTCCTGTCTAATCTTGGGTAGTACTTTCCCTGTTATACTAAATTATAGTATAACCTTGTTTAAGTATGCTAACTTGGCTTGTTTTAACTTCTTTGTTACAGCCTTGCTGTGACGAAACTGGATATTCTTGATGTCTTTGAAGAGATTAAAGTTGGTGTGGCATACATCTTAAATGGAGAGAAATTAAATACCTTCCCAGGTGAGGACTGAAGCCGGTTTACATTGTGTAGCTATTTATCAGTGTGTTTTAATTGCTGTTACTTGAGGCTTCCTTGGCATGCCGTCAAAGGTGCCCAGTTAGGATTTTGCTAACATTGACTGTGTTGGGTCGAAAGGTGCACATGTTGCAGCCAAATAAAATGTCACCTTAGTTTGGACAGAAAAATAATAATTTGCATGGTCCCTGGAATTTTGGTCAGGGGGCGGTCAAAATGGCAGCAGGGGACGGTCAAAATGGCAGCAGGGGGCGGTCAAAATGGCAGCAGGGGACGGTCAAAATGGCAGCAGGGGACGGTCAAAATGGCAGTGAACACAGGATATTAACCTTTTTGCTGATACGCACTCCGCCAGCCAGCGCTAGCACTGTGCTAAGCTAGTTCCCTGCTGAACCTTCCCCCCTGTGCTGGATACTTTTCTATTCCCCCAAAACAAAAGATATGTCGGTGGTGCAGGCTATATTTTGAACACCCAGACAAATTTATCCTAGGGAAGTGGGTGATTGGCCCAAGTGTTGAGTTGACAAGTCAGGTGTGCTTTGGCGATGCAAAGAAACCCCTACCTTTACAGAAAGAAAACACTAGAAACTAATTTGAATAACCCGGCTTCACAATGGATAGTAAATGAAAATGTATCCTCTACTAAGTCTACTTTATCTTTGACTCCGCCGCTTCAGATAACCGAACTCGTAACTCACATATTTCAAAGTGATCCTTACTATCACTTATTGAAAGAAACTGTTAATTTTTCATCAAATTTAATCACCTAGTTTTCTTGCTATTTACCTTTTTTAAGAAAAAAAGTTGACACAAAACCATGAAAATGTGAAACACGTCTAAATACATCTAAGGGTTTTAATTGTATGTAAATGGGTCAATTTGATCAGATTTCGGTAGTGTGTAGTGCTATTTCATCCCCTAGAATTACGGTCCTTAGCAATCTAAAAGAAAAGTCGCAATAGTGTTTTTACATCTTTAACAGCGAGGGCACAGAAAACGGAAGATGCAGAATTTAGCAGTCTACAGGGCAGACGTAAAATTATGTCTTTAGCAGCGAAAGTGTTAAAGACATCTGAAATATGTCAATGGATAATGTGGGATAACATGTGCAAGGTAGATATACTTTTAGGCTATAAGAATAAAAATCTTCTACAGGTGACAGGCTCGGTGGTTTTGATGATGATGAAGATTTATGCTCCATTTGTTTCCCTTTTAGCCTCTGACGATGACCTCAGAAAAGTTGAGGTGGAGTATAAGACGTTGCCAGGTTGGAATACTTCAACAGAGCATGCAAGGAAGTTCTCAGATCTGCCCCTGAATGCTCAGCGATATGTGCGAACAATCGAGTCCTATATTGGAGTACCAGGTATTAGCATGTTTTGTTTATGGCTTGCTTGTTGGCTTGTGTTTCTCTGTGTACTCAGTAATTGACAAACAACAGCCAGTTGGTTGGTTGATAAACCAATGGAATCTGGGTATTGTGCTGATTTAGCTTCATACTGATCTTTATTATTTGTTGTATCTGTCTGCCTGTATGATTGATTATCCCTCTTGGCTGCTAAATGGTTTCGGCTATGTTGTTTCAAGCAACCAATATTCACCATGTGGGCTCAGGTGCCCTCTTATAGGGGGGGGGGGGGGGATAACAGAATAGGCTGACTTTCATCCTAACAAGCATGTCTGAGAATAGACTGATTAGGGATTTCCTTAGACTTATGTGCCCTGGGTAAGGGACTGAAGGTCTGCATACAAAAAAGCTCAGGTTCTGGAGCAAACCTGAAGTGAAGAAGAAGAAGTAACAGCTTAGGTCTATTGCGGCTTGGGCGGAATGACCTGATCTGTAATTCTGGTAACTGTGTGGTGGTGCTGACAATCTACATTCTCTGATCATGTCACGAGGAGGATAAAACTGGAGTACATCATCTAAATGGGAAAGTTAGAGGGGAAAAGATGCAGAGGGAGACCAAGATAGACAAGACTGGACATTTGTGTTAGAATTGATTGAAAAGTACGCAAGACAAAAAGTATTGAATATGTGTGACTATCAACACCACAAGGTATGGCAGACCATCTTTATCGGAATTGGATTGAAAGTACTCAAGGCAGAAACATTGTAGATAGACGTGAATACCAACACCACATGGCATAGACTATAAGAAGTTGACATTGTAGAGTTAAACTCTGAACTCTCCTAAAAACTTCAGCCATGGTAAATAGGGAAACATGTCTGTCATCTCATTTGGGATTTATTCTGTTTTTTTCCCCCCTCGAACAACCTTGGGGGGGGGGGGGTGTAAAAACAATCTTGTGTGTGCTCTTTCTGGTATGTTGTATAAATGGACATATTTTTACAAGGTTGTTTTTGATGCTGCTGTATCATCTTTTCTAGTCTTCCCTTTGTTCTGTTCAGTATAATTCTTCATCGTGGCAGTTGGCACCAGGGCATATTTGTCAGATGGCCCGACCATCTCATCTGCTGCTTTTTAGGATCGTATGGCTGGTTTCAGTCTGGGGGATTATTGTATGTAATAATGATCTGTGTTGCACCCAATACTTCATGAAGGCATATTAATCTCTTTTTTTTGTGTGTTTGTTTTTGCAGTAAGATGGGTAGGTGTTGGCAAAGACCGTGACTCCATCATCTCCATTCCTTGAATCACCTACCAGACAACTGCTGACTGTCTTCAGATGTCAGAATATGATGTATTTCTGGAGTAGTTTTTGGCAGTAAAGAAGCATGCCAGGGTGATTGCCCATGACATGGAAAACTAGCAGTCTTAGATCCTTTTCTATATCCCCACCCGAGAACCTTAATTATTAAATATAATGGCCTGACTGCTAACAAAATAAAATGTATATTACAGACACCTGTGAAATGCTGTGAGGTGTTGTGTGGGTTTTTGCACATGTTCCCAAAGTTGAATGACATTTGTTTTATTTTTATCAAGAGAATTGATACATGTTTTACTTATGTGATTTGTAGCTGTTCTTGCTCACAGAAAATGGAATTTATACTGCAGTCTTTCATTGCAGCTAACCTCTAGAAATGTATTGAAAGATTTGTATATGTAAGGACAAGATTTTTATGTATTTGCTCTTTTCTGCTGACCTTTATGCATTGATATATTTCAATACATAGATTTTTATTACCATTCTTTCCTGATGACATTTCAGTTCTTAATTCTGAAGTAGAAACTTTAAATATATAGAGCATTGTAATTTCTATGAGGGTGGGAGGCATGGAACTAGTTCTATAAGATTCTACCCATGTTTGACTGCAGGTAATTTTTAACCAAAGAGTGCCACAGTGAAACAGTTCTACGGTTGAACGTTTTTAAAAATTAAGATGCTGATCCTACCGTCTGCAAATGGGAGGGAGGGGTACATTAAATATAAACTGGTTCGTTCATGATGTTAAAGAACAGAGTGACCTCGAGTATGTTAAGTGCTTAAAAAAAAAAGAGGGTTTTTTCATTGCACTAAGGATATATGCACTTTCTGTCTCAGAAATGAATTGGTATATCCTCCATCAGTCTTACATATTTGTAACCAGCTTTTTTTTTCTCTAACTTTATTTTTTTCCTGTTGGTTTTTATTTACTTTTGTACAGTGTACAGACAATTTTTTATTTTTTTTCTTACATTTTCCTGTTTTTTTAATCACTTAAGATACATGTTTTTTGTGTGCTTATGTGTAGTGTTTTATGTACGTAGTTGAGTCAAAACATATGTTTAGGGTTTTTGGTAGAAGTAATACTAGCAGTGTAAATCATAAGCATTTGCTGTTTTACATCTGTATATTTCTGTGCTGTGTGTGTGTGTTAAAACCCTCTTTATCAATTATCCTACTGCTTCTTATCGCCTGTTAAAGCATAGTTCCTTAGCCACCTCATTCCAAGCCATTAGTTTTTTTCTTGGGAGTGCATCTGTCCGAGAGGCAAGAAACTCTGCACATAATTGAGGCAAATATATAAGACGGATGTGCACACAGTACTCAAGTTCCAGAACAAGACAAGTCAAGACCTGGACGAACAGCCAGAACTTTCTGCCGAAGTTAACGGCTGGTGTTTCTGGGGTGACAGTGTTAAGCATATAATGTAGTATAAAAATTTGTTGAAGTTGAAAACCATACAGGGGCAACTGATCGAACAAACTTTTAAAACAGTCCCAGAGTTCATTTGTCTTACACTGTTGCATTCTTCTCCAGTTTATTCTTAAAGTAAAATTGGTTGCTTTGTTATCCATTTTTAAACAATGGTGCCTTGGTATACATCCTTGGAATTATTCATGTCTAGACAGGATGTATACCAGAGTAAACATAAAGTACCACTGTATATGCTTTTTTTTTTCACCTGCTACATTGATATGTATCCTGTCAAAACAGACTTGGGTTTAAGTCAGACATAATCTTGCAAGACAAATACCAGTCCTTTTCTCATGCTTTCAAGTACATGGTGCTAATCAGTATATATCTAACCTTTTTTTTTTTTTTTTTAAACTGACAAACCTATCAGCATTTTGTGGACGATGTCCACATGCACACCACCTGCTAGAGCATTTCCTAATGTCAATATTAGGCTTAAAACGGGATGTGAACTCAAGGAGTGAGGAAATGTCTGAGCAACCACTATCATCAACCGTTATTGTGTGATAGAAGATGTCGCTGTATGGAGAATCACTAAACAGACACTGAAATGGGAAATAGATGCATTGAGGAAAGGACCTCCAAGAAAAACCTAAGGCCAATGTTGATGAGTGAGGCCAAAGGTACGGTCACTTGCCTCCAGCTTTTTGCATAGGCCACTAATAACAACCAGGTCTGATGCAAGAGCTGGAGTTTTTCTATATGGAAACTAGAACTGATCAGCTTCACAGTACCGTGGTCATGGACTACAGAAGAAATGTTGTGGCTAGATTGCCTTCATCAGCATGTGAATCACTTCACTGCCTGGCTCCAGATTCTGAGTACATAATTTAAGTTAATGATGGCTGAAGTCTACACTGCTGAAATGCTTCTCAAACATAAATAACATGCATTAATTTTACTAGAGTCAGCCTTATCTCATTTCATTTTCTACAGTGAGTTTTTGTGCTTTTTCTTCGTCATTCTGTGTATGAGTTTTCATATTATTTGTCATGTTTCAGCATAAGCAACTGTCCGTCTTAGTTTTCTGTCTGAACCTTTAATTTGTTTGTGTTAATTTGTATTTTTCTCCGTTTATGTCCAGTCCTGAATATAATTTTTAATTCTGCTGTTACATCCCTGTATAGTAGTCTGAACACACTCTATTCTGAACAGTGGACCATCTTTTATGTTTACCAAGTGTTGTATTGGTTCTAATAGTCTCTTATAAGAGCCCCATGTTGTGCATATTTCTTGCACACAAATTTCCTTTGTATTTTACTGTGTTGTTGACACTCAGGACAACTTTGTTTAGCTAGTAAACTGAGCTGCCCCCAGGCTGTAGACTCAAAACATTTGTATACTAGGAATATTTTTTGTTTTGTTTTGCAACCGAATTTTGCTTGGCTTCTTGTTTTTATGATCTGATAAAGGGGTGCACCATCTCGTGATTTGATGAAGGTGTGCCTCAGTAGGCAATGCACTATCTCATGATCTGATAAAGGGGTGCACCATCTCGTGATTTGATGAAGGTGTGCCTCAGTAGGCAATGCACTATCTCATGATCTGATAAAGGGGTGCACCATCTCGTGATTTGATGGTGTGCCTCAGTAGGCAATGCACTATCTCATGATCTGATAAAGGGGTTTTCGAGTTGGCATATGAGACCACAGTCTGACATGTGTTACTAAATGTGTGCATTACATAACTACATGGCTGCTGATAAGTTTGACATGTTTTGTTCTTTTCCTGATGTGTTGACATGTTTTGCTCTTTTCCTTTTGTTTTATCATGTTCCGTTCTTTCCCGGATGTTTTGTTCTGTCCTTGATGTCTTTACTTGTTCCGCCCCTTTGATGTGTTTTGGTCTGTTCCCTGATGTTTTGACTTGTAAGAACAGACGAGCAAGTCTAAAACATCTGTGTATAGCATACAAGATAAATACCCATGTTTTTCCACTAGGATGTAAAAGTAGGGCTATTGTTTCCCTGACTTCACTACACTAGGTTGGATCGGATGAGAATTTCATTTAGTTAAAATAACTAAGTCATTTTAGTTGTAAATGCATTTCTTTGCTTCTGATGGGTTGACTCCTAGATCACTGTGGTGGTAAGCCAGAGAAATAACTGCCTTGACTGACAAATCTTCTGTGTTCACTGGCTGTAAGCTCTGGTGGAAAGTACTGGTAGTTTTCTATTTGGAGTTGTATGCTGTTCCTTGCCGTTTGGGCAGATATACTCTGACTTCTAAGGAAGCCCCCAGTTAGTCTATTCCCACAACAAGCTTTTTGAGAAGGCAGTGGGTCTGTTCTTGTTTTCCCCACAATGAGGTCCCGAAACCCACATGAATATGTGACATATCAGAGAGGTCACAATATTTTAATGTGATAATAAAGTAATCTCACATAAGATGCACCATTCCTGATGCATATAACAAGAGATTAATTTCACCTTATGCCCCCATTGTCTGACCATAATGTCACGCAAGCCGTGTAAAATTCCTAATTATGCTCTCCTGTTTTTTCAATGTGTTATTGGTTGGTGTGGCCGTGGCTTACAGGTTAGTGATGTCGTTTCACGGTGCAATCCTCATTACTGGGATTCGATGCCCGCAATCAGCGGTGGTCTGTTTACAAACACATCATATTGTGGAAGAGAACGTGATGTTGCCATAGCTAGCATTCGATACATTGCAGCTAGCCTGTATTGGGGAAACAGCCGAAATTTGGTTTGGTGGTTAGAACATTAGCTCTGTATCTGTTTGAAACAGAGCTGAAATATTGGAGCCTTTTGTCCAGTAGATCCAGCTGTTTCTCATCTGTTAAACAGGTTAGCTTTTCTGTAAGTAAAGGTCCTTTTACATGCTAGTGGCACATAGGGTATATGAGGTTGGACTCAGTGAGTGATGTCAAAATCACTCAGATCACCTTACTTCCCATGATTGTACCTGGCACTCATTTAAGACTGAGTCCGTCAGGAAGCTAAGATCATGTATAATAGCTTTTGTTACATGATTATCAGAGAATCTCCTGGGAAGGGTGGCCGGTGACAAAGTATAGTTTATTTAAAAAAATACCATAAGCTAGCATAAGTGAGGTCATCTACTTAACCCTAGAACACTGGAATGATTTATACCCATTGTAATGGTCAGAACTGGCCAGATAAGAATCTCAGTTGTCAGCATCATCTGCCAGATTTCCATCATTACAGTCAGTGTCTTAGTATTTAGACACAGATTTAGATACTTGTTTGTTTAGATAACTGAACTGAGGTTTTACAGAAATATTGCCATTGTTCAGTTGTCATACTGCTGCTGTAAACTGACAGACATTTGTTGAGTGCATTAAAATTTGTGTGTTTGATCACCTTTCTGGAGCAGTTATTTGTAGAACTGTTGTCTTCCTCTGGTGCTTGTACTTTTTTTCATCACATTTGAATAGTATTTGGGATGTTGATGTACTCAACCACATGTGGTGCGCAAAGATCTGAGCATGAACTATCCTAGAGACAGGTAGCCAACCTACATCCTGGTCAG